GTTAAAGATAAGATCAGTAACAACCATACTGTTTGTGTTTTGTCCACCTTCTTTTGGTTCAATGATACTATACAACCACAAAATCTTTGTGTAGGAGTTTACATTGTCAGGTGTCACTTCAATAATCAGTCACCACTGCGGAAAAAAAATAAATAGTGTGTACTGGAGTGTGCAAATTTACCCCAGAATGATTATTGAATGTGCAATCCAATAACTCTGAAAGCTGCATTTCTAGCATTTATTGACTAATCATTTGAAATGAAAGCTAATGTTCATTGTGCCATAAAACCCATGAAGAGTCCCCAATTATTAAAACTCTTTACGATTATCAAATATGCCTCAAGTGATTGGGTTGTGCAGCATGTGAAAAATAATGTAAATACGTGATTTCAGTTGTTTTAACCGTGATGCATCGATGTGCTGCATTGACGTCTGAGTGTGTGTGACACATTCGAATAGATTGGACACGTGATGCAGGTATGCAGAGACGCACACGCCTGCACTCACTCTCCTACTTGGCTGAGGTGCAGTTTGTACTGTCCTTGGTGTGTGACAGAACAAGCTTTCCTCTGTGAGCGGCAAAAATCAGAATTCACCAAAGCTGATAGGTTCGTGCCTGAGGGGAATTGTGGGAGATTTAAAAAATGCTGAGTCTCTAATCAATCTCAGCACACTCTCATTCTGCTGTCTTTCTTGAATCTTTGTCTTTATCCTATTTCTCTTTCGACATCATTACATTGTGGTTGCAGATAGAGATAGATGATGAGATCGCTACACTTTCCATTTGAAGAAGCATTTGTTACCTTATAGTGGGAAATAAATTTGAAGCTGTTGTCAAAAATATCCTATCCTTTTCTGTTCTCATTTATTTGAGTTGTCTGGATAAAGAAGATGAGCTTTGTTGGTAGAATCAAAAAGCCACAGGTTACAGTGAGATGCTTTATCCATCATATCATTGTAAGTATAACTGCATTATATCTGTCAGGAATTTTTAAAGGTACATACAAGTAGGGCACGACATCTAAAATTATCCTGCTCAGATCCAAGGGTCTGACATCTGTTTCCTAATGACAGATAATTGCATGCTGTCAAGGACAATCATCAGCAGTTGCAGCTAAGACAGAGTTTGGAGTGCAACTGGTGCAGTGATGCTAGAATCGGAAAAGAATGTGGATTTTTTTTTTTTTTTATGTCTCAAAAATGTTTTGTGCTGATTTTCAATAAAAAATATTGTTTGGCTTATCTAAATTATCATGTAAAATCAGGAGGTATTTCAGTTTGGTTTTTTAAAAATAAAAAATAAGGAAAGTATACATCCTTTCATCCATTATCTTTACCTGCTTCTTACGGTCACTGGTGCACAAGTCCAGCAGTCACTGTGCGAGGGTACACCTTGGACAGGTCACAAGGCCATCACAGTAAGGAAAGTATTAATTAGAAATTTTAATTTAAATGATCTGTCGTTTTTTTTTCTAATAATTGTATAAATCCCGTTGATCTCCTCACCCTAGAAATCACAAAACAGGGAAAGTTGCAATTGTCAACAAGGCAAAGCGATATATTTTAATAGACAACATAAAGTAGTAGCTCCTAAAATTAAGTTCTTCTTTTTTGTCACTTCTGAACCAACCTATTGCTGAAATGTATTGATCCAGTTATTTTTTCCCAACCGAATCCTTACAAGTGTTCAGTGCAGTGTTTAATTTCACGATACACCCACTGTTCAGTCTGTCACAGCAGTATGGTGGCCTGTTGGTTTGACAGATTTCGTCTTTTTACTGGACGTCATGGACCGCAGCTCCCTGTTATCAAGCATCTGCTCTTTTTTACTATAATTGGACGGTTTTAGTATTTGAAACTCGTAGACAGTGCATTTATCACTTCTGTGATCAGCAACTATTTATTACAGTTTATCTGTTTGCAGCACAACAATCTCAATGTCTTGCTGTTCTTGTAGTGATCCTATTTTTACCCACCCACTTGTTATCGACGGGAGCACTGTTTTAAGGGTGCCTGGAAAGTAGACGTTTATTCGTACATGTGAGAGTAGATAATTAGATTATTTAGATTTATTAGGACTTCACTCATAGACCACACTGTAGTGCTGCTGCAGTGTCTCTCCGCAGTTTCTCCTTAACATCATAGCCAACACCTCTTCTGGATACAGCTGCCATATGGCGGACTGGTTTTCTGGACTGCATTTTGTTGTCACCTCACAATGAAACAGACAAAGCAAATGTCACATTGGGTCCAATTAAAGAAACATTGTAACTATTTATTGAATATTTGGGAAATAACTGAAAACACAATAGACCTGAGGGATATTTTAACTGAAATGTGATTGATTATATATGTTTGTGTGTCATTTATTTAGTATGTTGCGCGATTTAGGCTTGACCTGATGCCTCTGCACTCAAGTGAATCAAACTTTAAGGATGCTGTCTGCTTCTATGAAACAGACTTATGTAACCTTTAGAAATGTCTTAAAGGTAGTTTGGCTTACTAATTTAAAACGTTTTCATTTGTTAAAAAAAACTCGTTTTCTACTAATACAGCAGAAATTCAGATTAGACAACTTGAACATCTTATAGCCTCATGTTCTGCTGTGTTGCATAGCAGCTCATAAAATTGCAGTTTCCATGAGTTTTGAGAGGATTTTCTGAGTCCATTTGTGTCTATTGTCAGCCGTCCGACCACGGCGCCCTTCTGGTTCTTTTTGTTCCCAGGTGGATGGGAAACCCACACAAACTCAATAAAATCAAGAGAGGTAAATTCTTTTTACCATTTTATGTCGATAAGGCAGGAAAAATTACAAGCTCAGCACTGAGGTGCCCGTCCGACCCGTCGCAACCCGGAACCGGAGGCCCCGTGCAAAAGAACGCCCCAGCTTTTTTTGGCCCTTGGCTCCGCCTTCACATCCAGGGCAGGCACAGCCTATCAGAGTCTATCAGTGGGGTGACGTCATTGGTCTTATCTGTTTCTGATGGTGGATAATAGGGTGATGTGCAAATTTATTTAAATGTTGGAAGCAAGCAAAAATAAAAATGACTCCTTATCGGGCGTTGACCCTGGGATCGCTCATTGTGAGCAGCTGACTGGTATGATCTGTTCTGAACCAGGTTATGAGTCAGAGTTAACCAGACCGGGCCTCCAGCAAGATTAAACTCCTATCAATATGTAAGCTTGTTTTATTTGTTTTGATCATTATCATCAGAAACAGTTGTTGTCACATGTACAATGTGTTGAAAATATTCAGCTAAAATCACTGCTTTTAACCATGGTATCCCACTAAAATTACTCTTTGAGCTGTCTTTAAAGGCCAGTTCTTTTGCCTAGTTTTTATTGCATCACCCAAAAGCTCTGTAAAGGGGCCAACAACCTTGTGCCAGCACATGTTCTGGACAGAAAAAGGCATTTTACTGCCCAGTCTGCTGTTACATTCCTCAAACATTATCACCCCTTTCTCCAAAAATCCATCCATGTTCACACAGTAACTCGGAGATCCATCATCTTGACATATGTATTGAAACAATGACAATAATGACAGCGTGCGATGGATGGCAGAACAACATGACGCACATTTAAACTTCTTTTCTAAAATCAATTTTTGAAAATGAAGCTGTCAGCACTTTCTGTTTAAGGAGACATGTTTGAATTGTAGCGATCTTATATTTATGCTGGTAAGCTCTGTAGCTGGGTTTCATTGTTTTGCAAGCCTTGGCGGTTTTAATGAGGCCACAGAAGAGTTTTTCCTACTTAACTTTCTGTTGTGGTAGAGTTTCAGTGGGAATCAATGGAGGATTTAGAGTGGGTTTAAGTTCCTTGCTCACTCTGTCTCTCATGGCTTCTCTTATACACATGCACGCACGCACGCACGCACGCACACACACACACACACACAAAATGTACTTCCTCTTTTGTTTCTGAAAAGTTGGGTTCTAGTGTTGCATTTCTTTTTTAAATATATTTTTATTAACATGTTAATGTATGTGCCATCTTAGCTTTATCAATCAATAAACCACCTGCTCTGTTCTAGATTTCTGCATTGACCATGCATCCTTGTTTGGACACACTGCAGCATCTATATCATAGATAGCCATAGCTTCTAAATCACAGAAACGGGTTTCTCAGCAATAGAGCTCTCATGCTTTTAAAAATGGCCTTGTCCAACCAAATGTCCCTCTAGAGTCATCTTTGTAGCTTCACTCCTCTATTAAGTTCATTTTCTGTCTTCATATTTTTTTTCTCCCAAAGTTATGGTCACCTAAAACATTTTTTTGTCTTAGTGTAGGTCATACATTAAACGTCTCCCAGGTCAAACAAAATCTTTTTTGCGAGGAGTTTGATTTATTTGCACATTTATATGGACTGAGCGCTTGAGAAAGCACTTGCTCTTGCATGGTTTGCCCTGTGGTGTGTGTGAGACAAGGCCAGTGACCAGTGATTCACTGATAAATGACGTGCGCATGTGCCTCTACAAACCCATACATAACTGTCCGACCCTATCTGATACAACCAGGCATCAGTTTTTCAGACGAATCCAGAAAATAAACCCCTGATTGGTTTCTATTATTAGCACTAATCTTTACGGTATTTATGATTATTCTAGCTTATATAGTAATACAATTTTTACTTTCTTTTCCCCTTTATGCGTACATTCACCATTGCAAACTGAAATTTGAGTTAGCTATCACAACTAAGGTCTTGCCATAATGACAGAACAGCTCCACTGGAGCAGTTTAGGTTAACTGCTTTTTACAAAGACACCTTGAGAGGCATTTACAGCTTTCCAAAATGTGTTCTCATAGCAGAACTTACCCATCCAATTGATGCTTGACCAGCAAAGCTACTGTTTTTCTGGCCTGGTTCATCTTTTTATATTGCTACCATGACAGCACTTCAAACACTTGAACTGGAAATTGGCCACTTTTCACAGATTTTTTTTTTTTTTTTTTTTTTACACTATTCTAATGTTTGTCTGTCTCCACTGCTTCTTCCAGATTCATTCAAGAGATAGAGATGAACATGGGGCCAGGTCAAGCCAAACAGTGCCAGCTTCGGGCTTTCCTCACCTACTACATTAATGACCTCTTCCTCAACCAGGTTAGTGAATGAACCAATTGATGGTTTTATATAAATCATAGAAAACTATCTTGAATTGCAGTGACTGGTGAGATAATTATTACTTGTTGCAAATGGCCAAAGAACCGTGAAAGTAAATTGTTCTTTCAGGGGAAAACTGGAACAGTAGCTTGAATGCCAGTTGTTTGGAATTGTATGCTATATTTTTGTTAAAACTTTTCACTCATGATCAGGTGCGAACAGAGATCAACAAAGAAATTGAGGCAGTGAGTAAAGCTTCTGACCCTTTGAAAATACTTGCCAGTGCCGATACCATGAAGATACTGGGTGTCCAGAGACCTCTACTGCAGGTGAGGAGCATCTCATGTATTTAAAACCATAATAGTTTAGTAAAATTTGTACTGACCCTATTAGCATACTGTATATCTATCAGCTTTTACTATTTTTACCATTTCTTTATCGTTCTTCAAAAAAATCTAATTTTGCAGTTTTGTGACTCATTCTACATGCAGACATAATTTGTGTGTTGCTCATATCCTTGCTTTAAAACACACTGCCTGTTTGTCTGGCACAGTTTTCATCTCTTAACCTTGTTCAATGGAGGACAGGTCTCTAGTGTAACTTCACCTTATAGTTCTCTGTGATCTCTGTTCAGTGGTACACAAATAAACAAACACACTCATACACAAACTTCCTTTTCTCACTTACCCTGTTTTGTCTGTAACATCATAATGTTCACATAAGTTCATAAATTTTGCTGAATTTTATTGTTTTAGTTTTGATTAGTTGCTAAGTTGTTTTTTTTTACCCTCCCTGCCTAAACACACACATTCTCCATTTTATGTAATTAGTAATCAAATTAAATACATTTTATGCTTTTGGGAATCAAATTCAATTTAATTTTTCACACACACTGTTTAAATATCACTGGTTTGTTACCTAGCACACAGGGAAATGCAATTTTCTTGAGCACAGTAAAGCGATTTATTTCTAATTTATAAAACCTGTGTATATTTGCTACTAAATCTGTCTCTACGTATCTGCAGGAGAGAAATGATTTAATGTAAATACAGTACATGCTGCTCATTTACATGTACGACAAATTCACCCAAATGTGAAAAAGCATGGTGTCAAGTCAGCACATTAAAGAATAATAATTTTACTCAAAATAAAATAACAAGGCTCATGTTGATTTTGGCAATCTTTCTCATTTATAAGAGGCTAGTGGTTGGTTGAGGATTATAGTTGTGCCAAAGTCGAGATCCAGACATCTGGCAGGACTGTCTTAGCTGTCAGATCGTCTCTCAGTTTTGTGAAGTGCGTTTTGCCTGTTGTATTAAAAACAAAAAAAAGTTCAACATGCATCAATTTGTTTTTTATGTATTATTGTGTTGTGTAATATTGTCCATGCAGTTGTCAAGAGTGTCCCAGAGAGGTGGCATGTTGGTTCTCGGAGAGTTTGTGAAGCACAGCTTGGATTTGTGTTTGTCAGTGTGTCTGTGCAAGTGTTTAGCTGTTTGTTTCTGTCAGAGCCTTCCTGTCTGTTCTCTTGCAAAGCGAAAACAGCGGTGGCAGTTCATTACAGAGAGAAGGGGGACTGTGGGTGTTTGGAGTTCAACGGGGTTTGTTTATGGCTCAGGCCCCTCCTTAACGAGGAGTTGAGCATCTTGCTAATTATGCTGCTGTGGCTAATGAGCCTTTCTGCTGATAGTGGGAAGTGCAGTAAAACACTTTTTATTTGGGCTTTTTGCCTGTTTTAATTGGGCTGAATAAAACAGCCTTCCATGTTTTCACTACTTCTATTCATATTCAAAGATTAGAATGGCACTTGTGTTCTTTTTAGTACTGTCAGGTGTCCATTTGTAGCCACATTTATGTGTGTGTGTGTGTGTGTGTGTGTGTGTGTGTGTGTGTGTGTGTGT